TCCAATACGTTAAAAATTTCGCGTAGCAAAAAGCGATTTCACTTGAGAGCGGAAACTCTACGAGGATGTTTTTATGTCCACGTGTAACCAAACTTGAGCTGGGGGCGAGGAGTTGATGTGATAACACTTTACATAACGAAAACAACTGTAAACGTACAGGGCGTCAGCGAATTATCCTCTCGGCGTGGCTTTTATCAGGCGCTTTTTCAGGCGAATAACGGAGCATGACAAGAATCCGAGTAGCTCGAAGAGGTCATGCGATTTGGCTGAGGAGGTGCGGCGCAGCAACCATGCTCGAGCGAAAATGATGGGTTATGAAAAATATGATATGTACATTATCAACCCACTTTTCGGCACAGGGCTGCAGTACAATGCCAGTAGTGAGGTTATTCTATCAAACTGTCTAACTTAAAGCTACACCTTGCTGAAAGAGGAATGTCTTTCTCAGTACCGTTACTTATCTCACTAGTACCAAACAAAAAAAAAATAAAGTCAAAAAATTTTGTGGGACCTGCAGTCATCATTTGTTTGGAAGAATTCCGCTGAGAACACTTTTTTTGTCATTGGTTAGTGATAACTAATCATCTGAGGCTTTTGATGAGTACGTTAAATGAATCGGGGTGCATCTTTGCCTTCGGCTTGCTAGCCTAACCCAAAACATCATTAACATAGGGTCTCAGTGGTCTCGATTTTGATAAGTAAGACAGAATACTAAAAAAAAACAAATTTTTGAATGAATTTTGATTTCTTGTAGAACCATAAGTAAAAAAGATCTCCGATGTCTTCTTGCTATACTATGTGTTTTGAACAGAACATTCCCCATTGAAGTGCATCCAGAGATCGACTGATACAGGTCAGGTATTTCGCTAAAGGGGCAACGCTTCGAGAAAGCTCATCGTCCTCGTCGAGTTCAAGTGGCGAGTGCTGGCCGGAGAAGTATCCCTTGCATAAAGCTGCATATGATAATAATGTGGCCGAAATCAGGTATTATCACACACTTCTGAAACCTCGAGCTTAGCCAGTCCAGAATTGGCAGATATATTTCTAATCCTG